GAGCAACTCATTTCACATTAGTTACCTATGTCTAGCACAACCAGCAAGATGGAAATTAACTGCTTGCCCGGGTGAAAATGTACTGAAGACTGTTTTGCATGTGAGCGTTCTACTTAATATAATTTTCTCAATACGGTTTCTTGACAGTCTCTCTCCCCCTCCCATCCCACTCCCTGTTTTTATGTTTGTTTTGTTTGGTTTCTTGAGACATGTTACGGAGACCTGGGTCTGACGTTTTGGGCAAGCCTAGCTGACCAGGAAGGCCCAAGGATCCATCTCCATCTATCTCCCCAGCACTGAGATTATAGACATAGACCACCACTTAGCTTTTTATGAGTGAGATTTATATAGGATTGCCCTCAGGTCCTCATGCTTGCCTAGCAACTTGATGAACAGAACTATCTCCCCAGCACCTCAAGTAATAATTACCACTTTTCAATTCTATTCTTTTGGTTGGCTTTGTTGTTCTCATATATGAAAAGATGTTACTGTGTCTAGTTCCTATATAAAGTGGCTGTAAGGATTATCTAAATCTACAAGCTGGAGATCTAGCTCAGTAGTTAAACAAAAGCCTGCTCTGCAATCATGGAAATTGGGGTTCAGATCATCCCAGCACCATGTAAGCAAGTAGTGGAGTATCCCTACAAATAAATGCCTCCTAGGGGGTGAAAACAGGATCACTTGAAGTTGCTGGTCTCCAGGACTGGGGAGATGGCTCAAAGGTTAAGAGCACATACTGCTCTTGCAGGGGATCCAAGTTTGGTTCCCAGGATCCACATAGATGGCTCACAACTACCTATAACTCTAGCTCCAGGGGATCTTACACTCTGTTCTGGACTCTGTGTACCTGCATGTATGCATACACATACACACAAAAGAAGTCTTAAGAATAAGCATGTTCCAGTAGCAACTCTTCCTCAAAGGAATATCAAAGAGCAGTAAAGGAGGACACTTCGTGTCCTTTTCTGGCCTTGGCAAACATGGGTATGCGTGCACATACCCTCACTCCACAAATATCTTCAAAAGAGAAAAGGAATTAACTAAATGTGTAGAATAGTTTGAGGACCATCAAGGTCAGGAGGCTTTTATGAAAGTGAACCTGCATACATACAGTAGTCATTATTACCCTTAGACCTCCTCCACATGGGTGCTGCTTCTTGACTAACAAATGGACATGTCCATTTCCTTGCTGCATGTATCCTGAGATTGCAACACCCTTTTGTTCATATGTTCTCCTTTATGGCTCATGAAATAGGCTGAAGTGTCTCTAGTTAAGATCTGGGGTTTGTGTGGAGAACTCCTAAATACTTGAATGTATGCGATATGCAGGGATGCAGCCTGCTGCTTCTGGATGCAGCACCTGCTATAAAGGAGGGAAAGGAATGCAAGTTAGCTATCGTTCTATAGTTATTCAGTCCATTATGCATTGGGGTATAGCAGGCCAGATAGGATACAAAGCCATGTGTGTTGTTCATCTTGTAGATTCAGAAGTTGACTAATTTGCAAAAGTCAGGATATTGATGATTACACAATTAGGTAAGTGTCCCTTGAAGCCACCTGAGTGAAGAGTATTCAAGAGTACTCTGGCTCCCAGTCTTTATTATTTGAGCTACATTCTTAAGTCCAGGCTGGCTTCGAATTTCCTGTGCTGATGAGGCTGACCCTGAACTTAACAATTTTTCTGTTTCTATGGCCCTAGTGTGAGTGCTGGGGATGTAGGCTTGTACCACCCTATTAGGTTTATGCTGGAGCCCAAGGTGTACTGGGTTGCATACTGGGCATGTACCCTACTAACAGATCCCACGCCCTTAGGTGACTTAAAATGAAAATTGTCACCGAGTCCCTAGCTGTGTAGAAAGTTCAATTTCCAGTCTTGGCTGAGGTTTTCCCAGCTGACTTCAGCTGTTCAGTCAGATCTCATTGAGTTGTGTGACTTAGTAGTAGGCACTGACCTAGTATGCACAGGACTGTGGTTTGACTCCCACACCACAAAGAAAGCATTCATCATTCACAAGCCATCATAAAGCAGCAAAGACTAGAGGTTTGCTTTTTGTGTGTGTTTTGTCTTAGTAAGAGCTCAGTCCTGGGACCAATGGAGGCTACACCCTAAATGTAGGCTGTGTGGAGAAGGTCAAAGCTGCAACTTAGGACGTGTCTACCACCGCTCCCTCTGGCCTTTCTTCATTGACTGTGTGTACGTGCACGTGGGACATGTGGAAGTAGGGAGAAGTGATGGGTACTGGTTTTCTCCTTCCACTGAGTTACAGGGATCTAACTAGAATGATGAGTTGTGGCAGCAAACACCCTTACCCACTGAACTATCTTGCTATCCCTGAACCTTGTATTTAAATGAAAGCTCTTGCTCTTGCTCTCTCTCTCTCTCTCTGTCTCTTGCTCTTGCGTGCTCTCTCTCTCTCTCTGTCTCTCTCTCTCTCTCTCTCACACACACACACACACACACACACACAACCTGACCCCTAGCCACCTTGAGATTCAACTGAGGCGGCAAGACTTGAAAGTCCAGCTTGCCAGGCGGCGGTGGTGTTACATATCTTGAGTCCTATCTCCAGAGGCAGAGGCAGGTGGATCTGAGTTGAGGCCAACCCAGTATACAGAGTGAGTTCCAGGACAGCCAGGACTACACACAGAAAGAAACCCTGTCTCAAAAAAACAATGTACAGGTCACTGGCCAGAAACATGGCTTAATGGTTGATAGCACTGTTTTGTTTTGTTTTCCGGAAGACCCTGGGTTTACTTCCTAGCACCCACATGGTGGCTCACAACCTTTTATAACTCCAGTTCCAGGGGATCAATCCATCACCCTCTTCTGGCTTCTATAGGCACCAGGCACACAAATGGTTCAGACATATATGCAGGCAAAATACCCATGTGCATAAACAAAAGTCAAGTCAAAGGGGACAAGCCTTCAGTTCCCGATGGTGCTTACACATTTAAAAAAAAAAAACCATTACATGTATCTTATTTTGTGTGTGTGTGTGTGTGTGTGTGTGTGTGTGTGTTCAGAGAACACTTTGTATAAATTCTATCTTGTGGGTCCTGAAAAACAGCATTTGTCAGGCTGGGATTAATGGTTTACCCACTGATCCATCTCACCAGCCCCCATTTCTTTTACTTTTAAAATTGGGTTTCCCTATCTGTTCTAGAGTAGGCAAGCAGGACTGGGGTACAGTCAGTGGCAGAGAGCTCACCTAGCATACGAGGTCTTGAGTCCTATCCCAAGATTGCCAAGGCCTCAGTCAGACTCTTCTATACTTAGTATGCTGGAAGACACAAAACTAGTTTCTCACTGTCACTGTCCACCAGATGGCACTGTTGGTTATCAGTGGTTTCTAAAGGGAAGAACTGAAACATCCCCTAGTAGCTACCTACTTCCTGAAATCACATACATACAGAACTGACAGGAATTATAACCAAGTGATCATCTTTCAGCCCTAACCATCTAGAACATTGGTTCTCAACCTATAGGTCATGACCCCTTTAGAGACTGCACATCGTTTACATTACTATTCATTACAGTAGCAAAATTACACTTATGAAGTAGCAGTATGGGTGGGAATCGCCAAACATGAGGAACTCGACTAAAGGGTCACAGCCTTAGGAAGGTTGAGGACTACTTGTAGTGGGTAGCTGTCCCAGCTTTGACCTGGAAGTACTAACCCCCATTGAGGCTTTTGGTAACGGTCACACCTACGAGGCAGAGCCTTGAAGACCTGAGATCCAGATGTGCGAGCTCTCTTGGTTCCTGAACCCTGGACGTTGAAGGTAGACTGAGCAGAGTTCTCCAGAGAATACCACCAGACTGTGCTTCACCTCTCCTGGCCCTGTTACCTATCCCTTTACTTGTAAATTACCCCACAAAATAACCTCCCTTTTAACTACGTGGAGTTGCCTTAATCCTTCCACCAGTAATTACTGCTCTAGAATGATTCAGTAACCTCTAGTCTTGAAGGTTTAGACGGCCCACACTTTGTTTCACTCACTCTACCTAGTGACATTCAACGTCAGCACTAAACTATGTTAGCAACTACCTAGGAAGGGCCACCATCAGTCTGAAAGATGCTCAGTGTGCAAGTGTGAGCACTTGAGTAAAGTCAGGCATGGCAGCAAAGGCCTAAATCCCAGTGCTGAGGGAAGCAGACAGAAGTGATCCAGAGCACCGGGCCAGCCAAGCTAGCTGATCCAATGAGCTCCAGCTTCAGTCAGAGGTCTGGTCTCAAAAGACAAGGTGGAGGGAGGCTGAGGAAGACACCTGATGTTGTTGGCTTCTGTTTGCACGGTGCATGCACACACTTTATGCTCTCTGGGAAGAACAACCATTTCTTTCACCAGACATCTGAGTAAATGCCACCTGGTTTTTCTCTTCATCTAGTATCTTACTTTTGACACCAATTGCATATGGGTTCTCCACTCACGTAGTTTTCTGGTAGAGACTAGTCAATCAGATGTCCTTCAGTTCTGACACTTACCTGTATGTGGTGTTGGAGCCCACAAGTGTCCTTGAGCCAAAACACGAGATCCAGGTTTCACTTCTGCTTGCCAACTGGAGGTTAGTCCTTTGGCAGTTTGGATTCCTTTGCTAGAATCGTCAGGTGAACAAAACCCATTACCTCTCTAACACAGACTTGGAGCACAGGCTCCAACAGAGAACCAGACTACACAAGCGCACTACGCAATGTGCACAAGAGCTTCAACAAAACAGACAGAGGTCTAAGAAAACAGCAAAGCAGAGGGATGGGAGGAAGAGCAGGAGGAGAAGTGGCGGTAAGTACCCCATTCAAAACCAAGCTTTCCCTGGTGCTAGGCAAACTCCCTGCACTGAACTACACCCGTCTGTAAAGCTCATTGTAAAGAGGAGGCTGGGATCCCGAGTCTGAAACCAGCATGGACTGTTTACTTCATAGCTGGGCTTTGTGGAAACAAAAGGCAGGAACACAGGGAGAAGCCACTGAGTGACTTGTTAACCACCAGCCACATTCAACGAGGGTATGAAACACAATTACTTTATTGATTTCTTACAATCAAATACTGCTAACTAGCATTACTTTCACACATGCATCATTCAGAACAAAGGAGAATTCCTCAGAATTTACAAATGATGCATCATATAACACAAAGTTAGAACTTAAAATGCACCCTGATTAATTATGTAAACTGGTAATTTTTTTAAAAAGCATAACTAATAATTTGGTTCCTTTCTTCATAAAATGGAAATGTAAATATTTCTCCTGATAGTCTTGAGGTTATCATTATATTATGAGTAGTGCAAACTGTGGCACATACAGTTCCATCTGGAAGGGTGTATCTTACACACCGTATCTCAACAAACAAAATGTGCATAAAATGCATACAGTCAATGCATGATAGAAAGCATGTTCCAAATACTAGTGAGCCTCTCAGGCCACCATATTTAGCTTTTGCATTATCATTTATGGCATTATAGATTAATTACACATGACATACTTTTATACATTTAACCCTGAAGATAAGAAAAATAACTGTTTGAAAAATTATTCCAGGTAGCCATTTGGTTTGTATCATAAGAAAGCGAACCTCCATCCAAGAGTTCAGTGTCTGCCCAGTCGGAAACATGAGCTTTAGTCATAAGATAAGTGATGTTTCACAGTGACTTTCCCAGGTCCCGGCACCGCCTCTCCTCCCACAGTATACCAGATGAAGGAGCAGTTCTGGGATCCCCTGGGGCATGACTTTCTTTCCCTTTGTATTCTTTTCTGGATTATCTGTGTCACCAGCCTCTCCAATGGCTTCCCATTTTAATCATTCATGAATCCTTTCAGAATGTCCTCAGAGAGCTCCATAAGAGGAAGTTCTGGAGATGGGAAATCCAGAGGAGGAAGATTAGGGATTGGAATGTCCTTGGCTTTCCCAGTGTTGGAGGCAAACTTCTGCCAGGTTGAAGAGGCTGTGGCAGTTTCCGAGTGTGGTGGCAAGCTCCACAGCTCCGACTTCTCTACAAAGTCGGCATCAACGTCCAGCTCCTTCTCTGTCGGACCTTTCAGAAGTCTGGCCTTCTCAGCCTTTAGTTGCTTATTTTCTTTCCTTAATCTTTCATTTTCAGCCACAAGAAATTCCACATGCCTCTTCAAATCTGCAATTTTGGTTGCCTGCTCCTCTATAATTGTTTTATCATCTTTTGGGGCTTTGCTTCCAATACACGGTTCTGTTGGCTCATTCTTTTGCTGAAGTAAATACAGCAGTGTGTCTGGATCCCTGTCAAGGACCCCCTGAACCTCAGGGAGACGCTTCTCTGCGGAAGGGATGTGTGTCTGAGGAAGAAGAGGGTTCTGGCCCTCCGCGTCCTCAGAGGGCCTGTGAGATGCCTGCAGGTGGGGAGCTCCGTCCCTGTCTGTGCTGTGCTGCGCTTTCAAGCGCTCCTCCCGCTTGGCTCTCTTCCACCTCTCCTGGATGAGGAGAAGCTGTTTCATGTGGCTGTCCCGTTGCAGTTCCAGTGATAAGTGAGCCTGGGATGCAGAAGAAAAGGTCAGCGTACAGAACTTAACATTAGAAAGCTCCCAGGCTCGAGTGCCTGAACACTTGCTTGAGTGGTTGTGGAATCTTTAGGAGGTATGGTCTATGGAGTGGCTTGCCTGTGGTGGGCCTTGAGATTCACAGCCAGTGTTCTGCTTCCTGACCCACAGAGATAACAAGCCATGCCACAGGCGGTCACAGTGGACTGCGCTCCAAGTGTCATGCTTCCCTACGATCCCCTTCATCTGTGGTCTTCCAATCCACAGGGTATTTGGAAAGCTTGCTGCACACTGTATGACAGCCATCACAAGGTCTACACTATCAGCTGTAGTTGGGTTCAGTGTGAGCAAAGTGTTTTTACCCTGCCCATGCTACAGCTTACAGGACCCTTAGTTCAGTCACCAACCCTCTTAGGCACCCATCATTATATCATCTTTCTAGCTAGGGGTGTAGCTGACTGGAATCATGTTCACTAGCATGTACAAAGACCTAAGCTTGACCCTAGGCCACTGGAAAAAAGTAAACACTTTGGATAAAGATTTTTCAAGAATTATTGAATTTTGTGTATGCGCAGTAGTAGGTGGAGGTTACAAGAGGTATAGATCCCCTGCCATGAGCCACATGGAACCCTGGCTAGAGTGGCAAGCCAATGAAGAAAGGACAGACAGACACAGGTCCAGAAAAACCGATGGAACCATGCCTACTACCACTGCACCCTGGCACCTCAGTGTGTTTGTTTAAAGAACAGCACAGGGCAGCAGCAGGCTGCTCTCTGGAGGCAGCAGAGCGGTCTCACGCTGGAAAGAGCAGGGGGCAATGCTGGAGCAGCTAGTTTCTGCACACACCAGCCTTCATCCTGGACCAGAGGAAGAAACCTTTGTCAGACGGACCCATATGGGGAAAGGTTTTGCCAACTTGCCATGGGTCTGAAGCTATGGTCTCTGTTGTGGCTGTGCCCAAGTAAACAATATACATTCACCATTCTGGGCTTCCTCTGTTAACTCAAAACTGCCATGTGGGTGATGGGAACCACAGCCAGCGCTTTTAAGGTCTCCAGCCCCAGAATGAAGGTATTTTTAAGACTTAGGCACAGGCCTTACCCAAACCCGTTAAGATAATACAAAGTCATCTTGAAACAGGTATCAAAGTCCAGGTATTCAAGAAACAAATAAATTATTCAGATTTAAATTGCCTCTGACAAGCAAAGTGTTGTCTATCTGGTTCCCCTGGGTCATTCCTGCTCCCTCACTGTGAGCCAGTGTCAAAGGCCAGTGGAGTATTAGGAAAGCTCCTCATGGGCTGTAAAGAAAACACCTGGCAATCTGAGGCCTGTAAGTAACAAGAGGAAACAGGAAAGCATGACTGGAACACCAATGGCGGCTCATATAGTTTTAATTTCCTTCCTAAAATACTGCATATTTTTCAGTGTTTTGAGAAAAGTACAAAACTTTTAGGTTTTACACAATTCAAATCTCCACAAGAAAACCTATCTTTAAAAAAAAAAAAATATTTTTCAGCTGGGCATTGGTAGAATATATCTTTAATCCCTGCACTGGGGAGCAGAGGTGGATGGATCTCCGATTTCAAGGCTATCCCGCTCTACACAGTGTGCTCCAGGCCAGAAAGTACTATATAGTGAAAAAAGAAGAAAAAAAGACAAAGAAAAATCAAAGATTTTTACTTGTTTGTTTTGATAATGGAGAAGGGAGGAGTACATATGCAGTACCTAGGAAGGACAGAAGAGAGTAGCAGACCCCAGACTGACCGTGTTTGTGAACGGCCTGGCACAAGGACTGGGAACCGTATTTGGGTTCTCTGCACTGCTGAGCCGTCTCTTCAGCCCCCCAAAACATGACTGCAAATACGATTAGCATGTCTCACCTGCTCAGACTGTGTCAACTTCATGGCTTCAGAGAGATAAGCTGGTTAAAAAAACAACAACAACATATTAATATATGAACAGCATTGTCTTGTAATTTATAGGCTAATAATGAAGTGTTTACTGCTCACAATACAGAACTTGGTCTTCTAAGCAACTGTGCCAAAAAGGCAAATGTGAAAACATTATTAACTTCTCCCCAAAGAGTGTCACTGATAAAGAAATATTCCCTAGCCTACCTTAATTATTGGAGGCTTTAAAACCTCTAAAGTTGGTGGGGCTGGGGATCTAGCCATGACAGAGTACTTTGGCTAGCACAAACCTGGGCCCAAAAAGCAGAACAAGAAGATTTGCAGATTTTATGATGAAGGAACTTAAGATTCAATTAGAAAAAATTTTTCTATAGAAGCAAAATTAAGTTTTACTGAGGCCTCATGCTCAACAAACAATAGATATTCATGAGGGTCCATCTGAATATCTGTACTCTATCATTATGGTCTCCTATGAGAACTATTTTTATCAATTGTTTTTGAGCTATACCAACACCATATCAACAGCCTACCACTAATTAGGTACTTAAGAGCCCTAAGCCAGACACTGTGGCACACAGGCAATTCCAGCATTTCAGAGGTTGACACAGGAGGATCCCAAGTTCAAAACTAGCATAAGCTACACAGACTGTCTAAACAACACCCCCCAAAAAACCTTAGAATATGCTAATATAAGCCGGGTGGTGGAGGAGGCGGCGCACGCCTTTTATCCCAGCACTCGGGAGGCAGAGCCAGGCAGATCTCTGTAAGTTCGAGGTCAACCTGGACTACAGAGTGAGTTCCAGGAAAGGTGCAAAGCTACACAGAGAAAACCTGTCTTGAAAAACCAAAAAAAAAAAAAAAAAGAAAAGAAAAGAAAAGAATATGATAATATATATAATACGATAATATATACTGTACAAGTTATTGAGGACAGAATATGATTTATGAAGACAGTCAAACTTCTCTTTGACCTCGATCAAATTCTGGGTGACTTAATCTGTTGAACCTTAATAGGTAATGCTCAAATCCTTACATTTTCTCTTTGTGCTAAGAGAAAGCTAACATGATTTGGATGTAGGGTCTCAGGGGCTGAAGAGATGGCTCAGTGGTTAGGAGCACTGGCTGTTCACCCAGAGAATTCCGGTTTGATTCCCAGCACCTACATGCTGGCTTTCAACTATAATTCCAATCTCAGGGGATCCAATGTCCTCTTCTGGCCTCCTCAGGCACCGAGGATAAATACTATGCACAAATGTATATATGCAAGCAAAACACCCATAAAATGCAAAAATAAAATTTATTTATTTTAAATTAAAAAAAAATTTTTTTTTTTAAGAAAATTTAGTCTCATGATGTAACCCAGGCTGCCTTCAAACTCAACCAAACTCCTGACTCGGCTTCCTGAGTTGAGGCATTCACAGTCCGTGGTAGATCTTGAATGTCCCTGAAGCTCCAGTGCTAAAGGCTTCACTGCCATGCCATGGCACACGTGTGGAGTGAGAGGACAACTTGTGAGAATCGGCTCTCTCCTTCCACCGGGGAGGTTCCAAGGACTAAACTCAAGTCACCAGGCTGGGGGGCAAGCACATTACCTGCTCGTGTCTTTCCTTGTCCAAACTGAATTTCTAAAGCTGTCAAGAGGGCACAGTGGCTGAAGGCACTTGTAACACAAGCCCGACACCTGAGTTTAACCTTGGATCCCACTCCCAGAGTTGTCCTCTAACCTCCAAACATACTACAGCACATGTGTACCCCTCCCGCACACACACAAATAAAATCAAGTTCATTCTTCTCAGTTAGTTCTGTCACAATGCTGGAACCTTAACCCTGAAAACGAGAGCCCAAAAGTGGGGTCACTGTGTGACTCTGCCTGACGATACTATGCAGAGGTCACTGGCACTCATCTACACAAGTTTGGAACTGTGGAGAAGGGAGGCTACAGAAGGCAGCTTCAAAGGCTGTATGCGGAGCTTAGTGGGCAGTTGTGGTGAGAACACAGCAACCAGAATGCTGACCAGAATGCAGAGAATAATGTCCAGGCTCAGGAGGGTTCAGACAAAAATGTAACCCTGACTAATACAAAACCAAGAGCAAGTTCTACAATACTCAGGAACTCAAATTCATTTATAAATTACACTTACAGTCCTTTCCCGTTTTAGCTTTTCATGGCTTTCCTCATCTACTTGTTTTTAGCTTCTGCATTCTGCTATATGTTCCTCTGTAAGGTATTTTAAAGTCTTTCTGGAATAATCAGAATGAAATAACAAGTATTACTAATAATGGATCAAGCTCTCGCTCACTGTAAACCTTTTGGAACCTCTGATCTTTACACTAATTTCCCTTTGCAGATATTACAACACTGCTATCTGGTCTTAATCCAAATACTTTGAGAGATTTTTTTAAATTTCACGACTTAAAATTTCCTGTCTGCTAGGTTCTAGCAACCTTGAGATTCAAATTAGCTGTTTCTTCTCCAGGAAAAAAGATGAACTATCGTCTTTGCTCCAGCCATACTGGCCAGGATTATACACTCCTCTTCGACTCTCCCCGGCCCTTTACTCTTGGCATACATCTGTCAAGCTGCATTCTATCTCTTTCCCTTTTGTCCATCTGTTTGCAGACCTGTTGTGACATTCTATCCAGTGCTCTGCTATCGCTTGGATACACTATGGAATTTTCTTGTGACATCCCTCTCATATTGTCTGTATACACTTGTCTCCTCTGAACTACATTTTGCTTTAAACCACCAACTTAACAATTAGAATAGTTTTTACAAAATCAAGTTTAAAACAACTGGAAATGCTGACCTTGGCAGAGCCCTGAAACTTACATATATACCTACGGATAACCCACAAGTGCAAAAAATTCAGCAAGGACCACACTACCACTTTAGAGATTTCCCACAATAAAGTCTTAGAGCTGGGACAAGAAGAAAAAGAAAAAAAGTTATTTTAAAGAAAAAGGGGAAGGAGAAATGGTTGGGCTGTTAAGAGCACTACTGCTCTTTAAAAGGACCCAGATTTGGCTCCCAGCACCCACATAGGGTTGTTACTCCAGTTCCAGGGATCCAATGTCCTCTTACCTCCATGAGTACCTGCACAAATGTAGCACACATAAACAAGCAGGCATCCATGTCCACAAAAATATAAAATCAGTATTACTTTAAAATTGAAAAGATGAAAACTTGGTTCCCTCACTTTGATAATCTAATACTGAAATCTCAAAAAAAAATTTTTTACTGAATTTTTTTTCATATATTTTGATATTTTCTTTCCCTTCCCAACCCCTCCCAGATCCTTTCCACTTCCCTACCCACCCAACTTCACGTTTTCACTCTCTCAAAGAAAAAACAAAACAAAAACCAGTAAGACAAAAAAAAATATCAAAACAAAATTAAAATGCTCAACCCCACACTCCCCAAAGCATGAGGTCTGTTTTAAGCTGGTCAGCTGCTCCTGGGCCTGGGGCCTGCCATGGCGTGTGGTTGATATTCCCATGGCACGGCACTAGAGAAAATCCATTTTTCCCTTCCCCAGCAGGTATCAACTGCAACAGCTTCTTGGTTAGAGTTCACTTCCCTTTCTCAGTGCTGGGATTTTCTGGTTTGAACCTGTAGAGGTTTTATGCATGCTATCAGTCTCTGTGAGTTCATGTCTATCAGTCCTATTGTGTTCAGAAAAATCTTAACAATACTGGCAATTATAATGCAAGGCTAATAGTAAAAGTAGATGTTAAGTAAATAGTAAGAACCACCCCCAAACCTATTTATTTGCAGGTTCTCTACCACCGAGCTACTTTGCCTAGTCTCACATAGTTGTTCAAGTCTTCAAAGACAAAAGATCTTAGGAATGATTTTTTCCTCTCTTCACGTTCTTCAGAATATCTTGCACTTAGTGCACAACATTCGATGATTCACTCCACTTTAACCTATGACATACACAGGAAACCTAATTCACTAAGGTTAATGAACCAGGGCTCTCATCCATATCATGGTTTTCTTAAACATGGTCTATCATGGGAGTTACTACAAGTCAACCATCTGGTTAATAATATGGTTGAGGAGAGATTTAAGACCACTAGTTTCATGCTGTAGAAAACTACACCAAACATAAAAATACTCAAAATATTTCTGAGATGCCCAGTTATGTACTCAAAACCCAGACAGCAGACACATGGGCATACTACAATGGTAAAGCTAATTCTTCGTTGGTGGTGGTTTTAGGAAAGAGACTGGCTGTAGAGTCACAGCTGGGGTCAAACTGTGGGAAGTTCCCACCTCTCACCAAAGCGTGAGGATTACAGGTGTGAGCCACTCACTAACACAACTAATTTCAATTGTTTTCAGCTGGGTGTGCCTAGGACATACCTTTGATCCAAGCACTTCAGGAGGCGGAGGCAGGAGGAGTGCTCAAGTCTGGGAAGTAACCTAGGCTATATGAGTACTAGGATATCAAGAGCTAGCTAAGCAAGGCCCGGAATCAAAACATATTCTCTCTCAACAATTACTTACAGGCACAACATACCAAAGATTTACCTAAAGCAATGCCCACTGTGACTCTGTATTTCAACAGTAAAATAACATTCTTTTCCCTGCAGGAAAGAACTCTGCTCTTGTCAGAAGGGAAGGAAAAGTGCTTCCTAGCAGACCTTGTTCTAGAACAGACACGACCATTCCACCCATTGTCAATGAGACACAAGCTCTGGAAAACAGGGCACTCAGATCGATTATGAAGAAGCTAACTCAGAAATTTGGGTCTCTATTTGGGTCTCTGATAAGAAACCAATGAATGCTAAGTGAATGCTTACACTATGCTCCATCTCCAGCCCCAGAAAGCCAATAACTAAATGACATTTAGCAATAGTAGATACAGTATGTGTGTATACTGTATGTACACACACACACACACACACACACACACACACACACACACACACACACACACCAGAGCTAAATGACAATTACCAATAACAAAGTATTCTTGTTCCTTTTGTTTTGTGATAGGATTTCACTTGGCAGTCTAAGCTGGCCTCCAAATCATGGCACTACTCCTGGCCTCAGTCTGCCAATAGCTCTATCTAGTATTTCTTAAGAAAAATACCTGTAGCCTTTTTGTGACAAGAAATGGCCTCTTCGTATTTCCCAGCAGCTAACAAACGGTCTGCTCGTCGGCTCTGTTGGTGAGCCTAGAAGACAAACATTCTGTGTTACTCCAAATTATAAAATAAGACTTTAAAAAAACAATCTTTTAGCCAGGTGGTGGTGGTGCATACTTTTAATCCCAGAACTCGGGAGGCGGAGACAGGCAGATCTCTGTGAGTTCAAGGCCAGCCTGGTCTACAGAGTGAGTTCCAGGACCAGGGTTGTTACACAGAGAAACCCTGTCTTGAAAGACAAACAAACAAAAACCCCAAAAACAAACGAACTATACTATGCAAGGAGCCAAGCCTAGAACCATATCATCTGATAGGAACTGGCAACTCCTCTCTACCCATAACCGTCTTCAGTTATCGGTACCCATAACCGTCTTCAGTTATCGGTTCTAACTGCTAAATGACCTCTATTCTTCCACAGTTCAGAGTAACCAAAAGAGTTACAATCCCGGGTATTACTCAAAACATGCACTTTCTTGATATTTAACTAGATATTTCAAATAAACATTTTGTACTTTCAATAGTCTGTATAGTCTAAAGACTTTAACCAAGAAACATATTATGAAAAATTCAAACTTCTCTTATAGCTGTTCATTCTTCCCTTTAAACATTAAAAAACTACTTGCCTTAAAATTCTAAAAAATATGCAGTTGAAGGATTCTGATATTAATATTTAATATTAATATTTCTTCATGTACAATTCATAAAAAAAAGAGGCAAACTTAAGAGGATCTAAAAATCAAAGGGCTTAGATATCCCTACTGTAGAGGTATATGGATTAAACAGTACTTTCCTTACATGGATACTTCAAGTTTCCCAAAGCCTCCAGCCATAGAGCCACACACCTGTAATGCTGGCTCTCAGGAGGAGCAAAGTCATCTCCTAGCTAGCTCAGGTTAGTCTGATCAATGCAGCAAGTCTACGTCATAAAAGACCAAAGGAGGCCGGGCGGTGGTGGCGCATGCCTTTAATCCCAGCACTCAGGAGGCAGAGGCAGGCGGATCTTTGTGAGTTCGAGGCCAGCCTGGTCTCCAAAGCGAGTTCCAGGAAAGGCACAAAGTACACAGAAACCCTGTCTCAAAAAAACAAACAAACAAAAAAAAAAACCCAAAAGGTAAAACATCTGTCTAACATGGCAAGGCTTTCAGTTCATTACAAGAATGGCAATAAATAAATTAATAAGTTAGTGAGTGAATGAATGAATGAGTGAATGAATCCTCCAAAGGTGAAGATATATATAGCTCAGGACAGAGCACCTGGCTAGCACTTATGAGGCTGGCTGTTAGATCACAAACTATGGGCTGCAGAGATGGCTCAGAGGTTAAGAGCAATGGCTGTTCTTCCAGAAGCCCCAGGTTCAATTCCCAGCAGCCACATGGTGGCTCACAACCATCAATAATGAGATCTGGCACCCTCTCTGGCCTGCCAGCATACATGCAGACAGAACACTGTATACACAATAAATAGATCACAAACTGCAACAACAAAAGAGCTTGAATACATAGCTTTGTCGACCTGTTTCCTTCTCTTCCTTAACAAGGCCAGTAACTTATATTAAGATTATACTATTTAGATAGAAGGGAAAAAGAAAGCAATAGAAGGGGGAGGGAAAACAGTCAGGCACACAGGATGGGACAAAGTTCCGAACCAGCATGGGCTTTCCTCTCTTAACAAGCCTACAGATGGCTTAGCAAAGCTTCTTTACGAAACAAAGAAAGGTCTGGGGCAGGTGCATACCTGTGATTACAGCACTCAGGAGTAAGGGAAGAGAAGTGAGTTCAATGCCAGAGTGGGACCTCTTCTCAAACAAAAAGACAGGCATGCAAGCATGTGCATGGTGGATGTGGTGGCTGTTTTTAAATCAACCTAACACAAGCTTAGGTTATCTGGGAAGAAGGAACCTCAACTGATATCACACCCTCAGAGTGGCCTGTAGGCAAGCCTATAATGACTGAGGTGGAAGGGCCCAGTACACAAGGGGCAGGGCCACCCCTGGGCAGTTGGTCTGGGGTTAAGAAAGCAGGTCTGAGCAAGCCATGAGGAGCAACCAAGTAAGGAGCATGCTTCCATGGGCTCAGCTTCAGTTCCTGCCCTGACTTGCCTGGACAATGGACTACAGGCTGTTAAGTCATCAGCTTTCTTCCCTACACTGATCTTGGCCACTGTCTTGGTTACTATTCTACTGAGGCAGTGAGATACCATGACTAGGGCAACTCTAATAAAAGGAAGCATCTGAGACTTGCTTAGTTTTAGAGGGTTAGTCTATAATTATCACAGTGGGGAAGCAGCAGTCATGGTGTTGGGCCAGTAGTTAAGAACTTTACATCCTGATCCACAGGCAGCAGGCAGAGACTGGGACTGGAGTGGGCTTTTGAAATATCAAAGACATCCCCAAAGACACCTCCTCCAACAAGGCCACATCTACTCCAAGAAGACCACACCTCCTAACCCTTCTGTGCAAATATTTGAGTCTATTGGGGCATTCTCATTCAAACCACCACATTCATGGTGTTTATCATAGCAATGGAGAACAAAAATGTCTCAGAGCCTTACTTGTAGCAGAGAGAGAGAGAGAGAGAGAGAGAGAGAGAGAGAGAGAGAGAGAGAGAAGTACTGGTAACCCTTGTTCACAACAGCATTATTCACAATAACCAAAATGGGACTGTTAGAATTCTGCCCTTACTCCAGCTGCATGACCGCACATGCACAGTTTAGGAGTTAAGCAAAGGGTCTTGCATCTTACATCATCAGTGTGCGCTGGTAACTACATGCACGCTGTGTGGTCACGCAATCAGTGCATGTGTGGTGTAGCTCCGTAAGCCGGCCTGTGCATGTTCACTGGGAACCCTTAAAAAGCTGAAGGTAGACCCCCCCCCCTCTCCCTCCCTCCCTCTCTGCTCTCTGCATGTGCTCCTTCTCTGGCTTGGTTCTCTTACCCCTCCCCCCCACACACACACCCCTCTTCCTCCTAATAAAGCTCTGACACGAATACCGGGTTCTGTCGTGACCATGACCTTTCCACGAGGTAACCAGCATTGTTTATCATTCATTTCAGGGACCGATGCAAATATTCACAACAGAGGTATAGACAAATCAAGGAGAGTATGTCTGCTCAAGGGAATCTATTCAGTCTTAAAAGGGAAGGGGCATCTTACCACAATATGAATATATTTAACCTTATTGAACTATGCCCATAAAAATGATTAAAATGATAAATTCTATGGGTTTGGGTTTGGGTTTTGGTTTTTATGTGTTTTTTAAGTGAAAACATTAATCTGTTCTGTCAGGTGTAAAATGACTTATCTTGAAGGCTTTTCATGAACTGTACCATAACTGCTTCATGGAAATCACTTTTGCAACTGACATTACACGCTGGGCTTGTTTGTTGAGTGAGACTCAAAACAAAGCAAAGGTGAAGACAGAAACAGAAACCAGCACTTCTGCTTGTATTTCCCTACTTCTACTTCTGTAGAGAAGAAACAAACTGTTTTTAAAGGCAAGATCATCCCTCCTCATTGTTCCAGAGGGCTTTTATTCTTCAAATAGCAATTATGCAAACTTTCCCCTAAATCTCAATTTATGAATAGAGGCTTAAAATAATAGGTTAATTTTAACCATGGAGGCTTGGAATGAGCAAAAAGTATGTTCTGAGCACCTAAATATTTTCTAGTATTCAGGTAAAACATTTGAAGTGGGATGGAGCAGATTTTTGAGATAGGATCCTATGTCTGGCCTTGAAATCCTGGTTCTCTTGCCTCTACCTCCTCCTACACGCTGGGAGTACAAATGTGCACTGCTCCCAGATGAAAGGGCACATCTTTTGAGAAGACTGTACAAACAATGAAAGCTGGCAGATGATCTGCAATCAACAGTGGTATTCAATCAACAAGGTCTTAGGGAGGAAGCAGAAACAGAAGAGTGAATGAGGGGATCACATGCAGGTGCCTTCACCTTTTTTGAGCTCTAAAAAAATTTAAAAGTCCACAGCTTTTCTTTCACAAAAGAAAACTTATGTGAAACCCCACAGCACCTCATAACAAGGACAGTACAGCAGACCCAACCCTACCAAGAGCCAAGGTGCTCTAGGATCAAGTTCTGACTCTCACTCTAACCCAGCTAAGTTGTTTACTTACTCAGTAATAAATTTGAACCTGGCCACTGTTTAGGAGTTGTAAAGAGAATTCAAACCATTTGGGCATCTGGTTAAAATGCAGGTTTTCAGCCTGTAGTTTTGCAGTAGGGTTTGCAAATCTACTGAGGTGAGGCTGTGACTGAGAATCATGGACACATCTTAAGAAAGAATCAAGGACAAGCCAGGCACAATGGTGCACACTTTTAATCCCAGCACTTGGGAGGCAGAGGCAGGAGGATCTCTGAGTTGGAGGTCAGCCTGTTCTACAGAGTGAATTCCAGGACAGTCAGGTGTCTACAGAGAAATTCTGTCTCAAAAAAAAAAAAAAAAGAAAGAAAGAAAGAAAGAAAGAAAAGAAAAGGAGAAGAAAAAAAAGAGGAGGAAGGGAGGAAGGGAGGAAGGGAGGAAGGGAGGAAGGGAGGAAGGAAGGAAGGAAGGAAGGAAGGAAGGAAGGAAGGAAGGAAGGAAGGAAGGATAGATCAGAAACAAGGAGCAAGGATAAAGTGCAATCCAAGACGTCACAGATGATGGCTCACACCTCTAATCCCAGCCCTAAGGAGGCTGAAGCAGGATCACAAGTTAGAGGCCAGCCTGCAACTTAAGACATTGTCTCAGCTCCATGTTTGCCAGGCATGGTGGTGCACACCTATAATCCTGGTCCTTGGGAAGTGGTGAAGGATGAGGAATTCAAAGCCATCCCTAGCTACATAATGAGTTTGAGACCAGCCTGAGCTACATGAGACCCTGTCTCTAGACAAATGGTAATAAAAAGGTAGACAATACTATAGAAACCTATTTTGATAGTTATTGTTATTTTTTTTAAAGACTCTTTAGGATTCCCACTTAAAAACTGATCTGTTTAAATACTGTTATTGGTACGATTACAGCCATTAAAATAAATCCATGAATATGTTTCTTTAGAAATTCAAAGTAAAAACTAGAAAATCAAAGCCGGGTAGTGGTGGCACACACCTTTAATCCCAGCACTCGGGAGGCAGAGGCAGGCGATCTCTGAGTTCAAGGCCAGTCTGGTCTACAGAGTGAGATCCAGGAAAGGCGCAAAGCTACACAGAGAAACCCTGTCTCAAAACAAACAAACAAAACAACAACAACAAAAAAAAACTAGAAAATCAAAACACAACCTACCTCTTTCTGTACACTGCTTTTCCTCAGCAACTGTGATTCTTATAGCAGGGACCACATTCTTATACTGCCTGGCTTTCTGGACACTTTAAAAAGAATCCCAAACCCTGGATTTTCAAACCTGGGTTCAGAAAGCAAGTACAGCAATAAAACTTGAAATGGTTTTAACTACATGACATTCTGAGAGTGGCCAGGCAGAAACACAGGCCTGAAGAAAGTGAAACAGTCCAAAGCCTATCAAAGGAATCCTACTCCTGAGTTCCAGACTCCACAGGCTCTTGGACATTGTACACTGTTCTTCCTGCCCCTTTCTTTGGGCAGCATCTCTTTGGACTTAAGCTAATAGAAGTGAGCTTCCATTATCTAAAACCAACAAAAATCCTAGAAACTACAATTGGTTACTAAGTCAATGAATTTACTCTCAAGGATTTTTTGCTTCTTCAGGCTGCTTTAAAAATGCAAGTTCAGGGCTAGCTTTCTCAGCATGGTGGTGCTCGCCTGTAGTGCCAGCATACTCAGGGGCAGAGCTCTGTCAGTTGGAGGCCAGCCTGGTCTACATAGCAAGTGCCAGGACACAGAAAAATCTTGTCTCAAAACAAAACAAAAACCCTCCAAGGTTATAAATTAGAGTATCTTCTGTATCTTCCAATTTATTAATTTCTAATCTGGAGGAAGTGCTATATTAAGAGGAAAAGAAAACACCATTCCAAATATTAGAAAGAAGGCAGAGGATAGCTACTGTATTCCTGACAGGTATGGTCTTCAACTGGGAGCAAAGGAGAAACGGTATCCTTATGCCCCTGTCCCAGTCACTAGGACAGGTATCAAGTCTTTTGAGAACAATTAAACTGGAGGTAAGTGCTCCGGTGAACTTGAGGACCTCATCTCAACTCTGAAGACCAACTTTCCCCTTGTGCTACTTTGTCTATCGGCTTCTTCCTCCCGTCAGTTTCTAGTTGAGCTTGTTCTTGTTTTTCCAAAACTGTCATCACCTGCTGTGTAGACGGTGAGAATCTAGTATAGGATTCTCATGACAGGTTATGAAATCAATTTGGTGAATTCTGATAGTATTAAAAAATCCAGAGGCTAGAGAGACAGCTAAGCAGTAAGAGCACAGGCTACTCTTCCAGAGGAACTAAGTTTGATTTCCAGCACCCACATGGTGGCTCACTAAGGTCTGAAACTCCACTTCCTGGGGACCTAATGACCTCTTTTGGCCCAAAGGCACCAGGCACGTATGTGGTGTACAAACATACATGAAGGCAAAACTCTCTCTCTCTCTCTCTCTCTCTCTCTCTCTCTCTCTCTCTCACACACACACACACACACACACACACACACACACACACACACACACAGACACTTTAAGCCATCCAACAGTAAGTATTACAGCACCTCATATACAACAAAAAGTTATACTTTGGTTTTATTTAGTGTGAAATGTGAGAGGCCCATGTTTCTGCAGAAACCCAAGATATATTCCATAATATAGAAAGCTTGGCAGTATTACACACAAAACTGACTTATCAATCTGTAAGGACTTCTCAGTGCAGATCACAGGTAAAGCAGATGAGGAAATAATGCCCTAACACAAAGCTCAATGATTTATTTTAGATTCTAACTTTCGAACCCCACTATCTCAATTTATTCTGCATTTCAATGTCATAATCTATAGCATCGGTAGAATAGCTCATCTAGCTACTAAGGCAAGAGAAACAAGAGAATAATGAAGCCCTACCATTTACTAATTGTTGGCTATAAATTAGCACTCCATTACCACCAATCCCCATCCCAAAGTCCAACCCTGCCTATAGCACAGGATTTATTTTCCTTAGGTTATTTTTAGGGTAACACAAAAGGGATTAAAATAGCCTCTTTTTTCTTTAAAGATTTTAATTCTAACACACCTGGCATAAGACAGTTACAAAGACTTCAGCTACATAAAAGGTGGGCATTCCTTAGCCCACGATAGGAATCTTTTCCTTGTATGAGATGCCTGAAAGCATTAACCACTTCAGGCAAAGTAAGAACTAAGTACTCCAGAAAGAAGCTCAGGTTTCCAACAGACACTCCCAGCACTCTTAAGCCTGAACAGAGAGAAAACAGGTGTGACTCAAGGATGAACATATAAACAGCACAACAAAACACGTGTGGCTGTGCGGTCACATGGGCACAGCCTGCAGCAGCCACAGCATGCAAAGCAGGAACAACAGTCATGCACGCTGAGGTCTGACATCACTACCCAAGCTGGCAGCACTGGAAATTATCTCACGGAAGTTCTGACGACCATTTGCTACCAGCTGAATGCCAAAACTGAATGCATGGAAAAAAATTACCTAACACACACTATGTGATTTTATAAGTTACAATCTTTCCACATTAAAAATGAACAAGCTGTGTGTGGTGGTACAGGCTTGTCATCACAGCGCTGAGGAAACTGAGGCAGGAGGATCACAGGTTGGAAGCTAGCCCGAACTATACACTGTGGCCTGGTCTTATGACCCTACCTCAAATAAGCAAATAACACACAGGAGAAAACTTGATAGAACAAATTTATCCAGAATTGAAAGACTTTTTCCTTCAAGGGAAATAAAATTTCTCTTGACCAACTCTGAAACTTAGAGAGCTAGCACATCTGTAACAGCTACAACCTAAAGTGTAGCACTAATTCAAACTAGTCTCTTCCATGTCCTGAAAATTCATTGTGAAAAAATTAGCCCTGCTATGACCCTAACAATGAAACTCCACAGCAGAGGCAGTGGTGACATATGGCTCAATATAGACCCATGAAAATGACAAGTACACTAATATGGAAGTATTGCTAGAAACAGGTCATAGTGAGTTGGAATGCAAAATGTACTTAAGTCACTGACCTAAGCGATTATTTAATTTCCCTCAATTCAGGCATGTTCATCAATAAATCTCTCAAACAATTCTTACTAAATTCCAAGGATGCTCTGAGGACATAGGGCCCTAAACCCACGTACAGTAGTGAAGTCCTTATATTATGAATCTGTAGTACACACCAATGATAAACTTGTATAGTTTACTAGAATATACAAAGAGACTCATTAAGTCACAAAATTCAGAGCTACTTTTAATGTTGAGTAAACAAGATACTGTGCTTTATTCACTGACAATCAAAAAAGAAAAAAGAAAAAGAGAGAGAGAGAGACTATCTTCAAAACTTTAAGTCTAGGGCTCAGGGGATAAAGACACTCGACACCAACTTGGTTACCTGAGTTCAAACCCCAAACCCACACTGTGGAGAACTGATGCTCCCAAGTTGTCCTGATTTCCACCCATGTGAAACACACACATACACATACACACACACGTGAAACACACACATACACACATGTGAAACACACACATACACCCATGTGAAACACACACACTCTCTAACAGAGGCTTACCACTGCTACTTTGCAACACTCTTCATGCAAATAAACGTCCAGCAAACAGCTAGGCTGGATGTCAGAAATCTTCAAAATCTCAAATGGCTTAAAAATTCAAGCTGCCACGTTTCTGAAGTTTGACACATAAATTTTAAGACGGGATAATGAAATTGTGCTAGCCTAATTTACCTATTTAACAAAAACAAACAAACAAAAAACAACTCACCAGGGCATGGAGGCATGGGCCTGGAATCCCAGCATTTACAAAGGAGGATGATCCAGTGCCTGAGACCAGCCTAGGCAACAGAGTGAGCCGGAAGCTAGCACGGCTCAGGCGAACAGTAGATAAATAAAAGCGCTGCTGCCATCCTTTACCTAATTTTTCCTAGACTGAGCACTTGGTGCTCCACCTCCCACTGAAACCCAGTTTCTGTCCTCTCCTAAGCCACAACACACTAGTTGAGTAGTTAGCTAGGGTCATGCTACACCCTGCTGCCAAATAAAGTGAAGCTACCTGGAACTGAACCAGGGATGGCTCTGCAAGGACACTTGAACTTTGAAGCACTTTGTAAACAGCTGGCTCCGACGAATAATCTTCCTGTGGAGTTTCAGTATTGAGCCATCCACGCCTCACCGCAAACTGTATTGACCATTCGAGCTCTCTTAAAAACAAGAGGTGCAAGATGTTCCCCAGGCTTTCAAAAACTCACCAATCTAGCCCAATCGACCTTAAGTGTAAACAACTTAGAGATGGATGCAGGACCTAACTTAGTAACTCTGGGATGGGCTCCTCAGAGCTGCTAACCTGGCTCCAGCGAGGTGATCACTCTCAGGCGGTCAAGCTCAAGTCCAAATCTCATTAAAGTGAAAGGTCAAGAGCTTTATGGTCTCATTATAAGAGTGGCTAAATCCTCCAACCTTCTATCTAAAAAGCACAGTTCTACGTGCCTAGTATCTGTGTACGTCTTTAATCCTCACAAGAAACCTGGAAAAGAAAACGAGGTGAAAATGCTTGCTCAAGGTCCCGAAGCTATTAGGTGACTAAGCCAGAGTTCAAATCCAAGCAGATTTCTGGCTCCAGAAATCTATACTCTCAAACCACAGGCTCGGGCTTTTCTGCACAGCACGGAGCACCAGGCTCTTCCAAGCCAGCAGGGCCGAGTTCCAAAGAGAGAAATCAATCCTCCGCGGTCTTGTTCGCAACCCCACCACCACCACCACCACATCAAAAACCACCTACAAACTTGGGACTTCAAAGTTCTAGTCTGCAACGCTAAGAGATCAGACGTCTGCATCTCAATTACGTGAACCTTTCCCAGGAAACCCAAAGACGGCCGGTGTGACCACTCTTTGGGAGGAAAAAAAAAAAAAAAAACAACCCTGCGAGCGGTTTGGGGTTGGGGGGCGGGGGGAGTTGTCTGGGAGAGGCCTTTTTTTTTTTTTTTTTCTGCCTAAAACAATAAGGACCGGGGTGGTCCCTGTGCTTTTTCCGAGAAAGCGAACCTCTCTGGTACTTTCAAGAGACCTAAAGCAATGAGACTGGGCTGCGGCGGAGGGGGCTGTGGCTCCTATCCAGCTGTTTCCAAGGGACCTTCGGTTGGCGCAGCTGGGAGGGCAGCCTGGAGATGGGGGTGGGTGGGGGTGAGGGAGGTGCGGCCCGGACACCCCGACTTTGCCCGCGGCCTGCAAGGCGGCTACGTGGCGCCGGGACGCGGTCCCAGCAGGGCAGAAGCGACGGGCCCCGAGGGAGCGGCCTGGGCCC